CAATTCCAAGTATTGTCAGTATGGCAGGTGGTCGTGTGCGTCAGAGTCACACTTAACTATTCCAAGTATTGTCAGTATGGCAGGTGGTCGTGTGCCTCAGAGTCACACTTAACTGTTCCAAGTATTGTCAGTATGGCAGGTGGTCGTGTACGTCAGAGTCACACTTATCTAATCCAAGTATTGTCAGTATGGCAGGTGGTCGTGTGCGTCAGAGTCACACTTAGCTATTCCACATGTCTCCTCGATACCAGTTTCCCTCAGCATGCCTTTAGATATTGTTATGCATTAGTTAATGTGTTTTCATCCGAACGATTCTTTAATGTGGATCAGTTCCTAATCAAGGAAATCGGCATCCATAGTTTATAGTAGTAGCATGGGGTAATTGGTATTGATGATGCAATTTAAATAGATGCTCAAACTTAATTATATCTTCAATTTTTATAAAGTGATCTCGTAATTGTCACTTCTGTTCAAATAATTATTTTGATATTTTTCAACAACTGATTCATTTTCATCATTTTAGGAAAGATGCTGTCATGTTGTTCATCCGTACAGATTTTCTACACATCCCTTCAGTTTATATTTTGATAATGATCATCGAAATCATTGATGAAAGCTACAAATAATTTAACTTTCACTTTGAAAATAAAATCAACTATTGTCATTTCTTTACATGCACTTGAATGCTTCTTTTTACTATTTTTTTTTTAATTTTTTTTTTTTAATTTTTTTTCAAAATCATCAAGATCCTAGTGATATAAAAACCGTCTTTACATAGTGTAAGTAAGTACCCTTTTTAGAACTGTACGGTATAATATCATACTATAAATACTCGATATTTGGCGAAATCTTTGTTTTCCCGTGACTTACTGGGGAGACTAAATCGCCAATTTGAATGTATTGAGAACAACTTTTCAGACACTAGAAAAAACTATCATTGTTGATTTCACAAACTCAACTCCTAGCAGAAGGTATATTTTCGACAATTAAGTCACCCAAAGTAGTCAAATACATCAACAAATACGTCTTAATTATGTGCATCAGTATACGATATATAATTATTCTGTTAATTATTTAATCAAGTAATACTCAAAATGGAGTATTAACACGTTGCTATGTAAGTTAATACTATCAAAGTTGAATGAACTGCAACAATAAATACTAGTTTGTTTGCAGTGCAGGACAATGCTTATCTACTATGTCATAATTGAAAATACAAAATTACTTTTAAAAAAGGAAAATCTTATACTAAAAATATCAGCTTAACTAGTTTTTTTGGGTGTTTTTTTTCCATTAAATAAAAAAAACTAGAGCGTTCGATCTCTTCGCTGATTTTTGTTTTGTATTAAAATTTAGTAATGTGTACTTACAACGAAAACGTGAAGTGTTTTAACACTCTGACCAATAATCTACTTTAATACACCACAATCAATTGTATATAGCCTCATTAAACTTAATTTGGAGCAATCGTAGTCTTTGAATTAGAGATATGTACTTTAATATAGAGGTTTGTAGTGTTTTAGCGTGTTGTCAATCAAAATTGATTTGAGGCATGTACGATGTTTGTATTTGTCGTGAGATTTGCTTAACCTTATATAACTTCTTTGTTTTCTCGAAGACAATACTTTGAGTTGCTTTTAGAATTTATTAATAAAAAAAAATCTTTAACGCAAAACGTTTACGCACTAAGTCAAATGCTTGGTGACGTCCGACATGTTTTGTTTGTTGTCAGATACTATTTTAATTTTAATTTGCTACAAGACAATTTTTGAGGTGACATTTGATTAATATAAGACATTTATTTGAATGCGACTGAGCCTTACCTCTTGCAGTGGTTGTATGGTCCATCCTGTCCCGCTGAGGAAATGTTAAGGTCTTCTTCTCATGGCCTTCCCCTATGCGCTTCCAAGCTCTTTTTGGGGTTTCCAAAGTGTTAAAATTCCTTATCTCGTCGAGGAATTTGTCACGGTGCATGTTCAAATGAAATCCTTTGGTATCAGTCATAACAAAATGCTCGGTCAATTGTCAAACATTGACAATAATAAAACTGTTAAAGTAACAGTGTTTAGTTGCTAATGCATCACGAAAAGATTTAAAGGAAATGAAAGTACAGCGATGGGCTGTTGTCAGCAAAGTGTTTCAAAGCAAAACAAACCAGGCTGGTATATCGTCCAATATTCTGCAGTGATCTATAAGACACGACTATGACTGATCAATACCCATCTGAAGGTGTCTATATGCGCTGTACACCACCAACCGAGTACGCCCTTCTACTACCGGCACCACAACCAATGCGCCCTATCTCTCTCATACCATTACATCAATACCGGCCACCGCTCCGTCACACCCAGGCTTCAGGTTCTCAGAACTCACAACACTATTCATTGAACACTGATGATATTTTTGTTCGAGTGCCACTTGCAGTGTCCAGGATTTTTTCTCTCTATCGGCGGTCCGAAATTATGCACATTTCATAATTATATCTACAATTGCAATCAGCGCGGTATATAGATGCTATTTTCCGATATTTCTGTCAGACTCTCGAAAAGCGCATTCGATTAATTCAGATGGATCTCTTTGCCTTCAGTATTTCCGATAACATCTTATGTACATATCTTTACGTCAATCCATTTGATTAGCTTTGAAAACACTCTCAATGAAATGTCAACTGGTCGGAATACCCAACAAGCTTCTGGTTTTCCCCAAACAATTTCTTTAAGATAAGAATCTGACTCTATCTGAAACACAATATGTTTGATCATGAAAACATTACAAAATGCCTTGTTGCGCTACTCATGCAAAATTTAATTGCATCAACCGTATTATTCTGATTTGCATTCGATAATTTCCATACTTATTATATCATAATGTACCCCGCTTTATCCCAATTCCCTGATTAAAGCTAAAAATAAGGTTAGAAAATACAAGACACACGATTTCTTCTTTGCCTTGCATGTATGCAATAATTAACATAAACACTGTCGTGCTGTTTGCGACACAAATCGCTTTTATTTATCATCGGGAGTACAAGAACCCACTGGCAATTATGCTCTGTAGGTTGGTTGACAGAAGAGTTATTTCATTGCCTAACCTTGATAATAAATCAAATCTCTAGTATTTAACTAAATAAGAAGGATAGTAAAAACGCATGTGAGCTGAGCATAACCTATTTCGTTCTCATGTCCTTCGTCCAGGCTCTTCCATTTTATTATTGGCCATGTATTCAGTGTGATCACAGCATTAGTACGTCTAAAATGCCGAGAAGCCCATCATCCTTTTACTGAATACTTTACCTCGAAAACTCCTTAAAGTTTTAGATGTCTTTATCAGAAAACAGACAAAACGCACAAGTTTGTATTTTTTACTCTTGATGTGAAAACAAGAAACCTATCGAACCTTCGAAGTAAGTACGTGTATGTAGCCTCTCTAGCTGACAAATCTTCTAACATCATTAGCCTTGCTATCCTATTACGTAAGCTGACGTAATAAAGAGATAGGTGTGATGGATACTGTTTGTGATTCTACTTACACTTGGGTGTCACTCTATACAGACGAGATGCTGACCAACCGTAGACCATGTTGATCCTCTATATTGGATCTCTGAATTGCACAGAAAATTGTCGAAAAGCAGTATATTATCGCATCTTCCACTTGTTCAACTAAATCAATTCCCGTACTCTTACAACCAAACTTCGCTATACAGGTTATACTTCCGCGTTAGTGTAAAGGAACGCATACATCATATGTGTAATCGAAATATTGAATGTGAAGTTACTTGACCTGAAATTGTTGTTGCAATGTTGAATTTGCGATCGTTAATTATTTTAAAAAGAGTTAAATATATCTTGTCAACAGCCATGGATGCAATAACAACAGTAAAATAGTAGTGTATGTAATAGCAATAATAAAATAGTCTTGTAAGTAGTAACAGCAGTATAAATAGACTTGTAAGTAGTAACAGCAGTATAAATAGCCTTGTTTGTATTAACATCAGTATAAATAGTTATGTATGTACAAAATGTAGTAACAGCAGTATAAGTAGTTGTGTATGATGTAACATCATTATAATTGCATGTAGCACTGTTTGTAATTTCAGCAATAGAAATTAGTTTTGTTTGTAGTAACAGCAGTATATAAAGTCGCGTATATAGTAACAGCAATATAAATACAATTGTAGTCGTGTATATAGTAACAGCAGTATAAATAGTCGTGTATATAGTAACAGCAGTATATATAGTCGTGTATATGTTACATAACAGCAGTATATATAGTCGTGTATATAGTAACAGCAGTATGAATAATCGTATATATAGTAACAGCAGTATAAATTGTCGTGTATATAGCAACAGCAGTACTAGTATTACTAGTCTTTTAAATAGTAATACAATGTAGCATAACAAGTCTTGTACATTTTGTACGTACATGTAGTAACAGCTATATTAATAGTTGTGTACGTAGTAACAGCATTATAAATAGATGTGCATGTAGTAACAGCGGTATAAATAGCCTTGTTTGTAGTAACAGCGGTATAAATAGCCGTGTTTGTAGTAACAGCGGTATTGATAGTTGTGTATGTACATTGTGTATACATAGTAACAGCAGTATAAATAGTTGAACATTGTGCATTGTGTATATATGGTAACAGCAGTATAAATAGTTGAACATTGTGCATTGTGTATANTGTACATTGTGTATATATAGTAACAGCAGTATAAATAGTTGGACATTGTACATTGTGTATATATAGTAACAGCAGTATAAATAGTTGGACATTGTACATTGTGTATATATAGTAACAGCAGTATAAATAGTTGGACATTGTACATTGTGTATATATAGTAACAGCAGTATAAATAGTTGGACATTGTACATTGTGTATATATAGTAACAGCAGTATAAATAGTTGGACATTGTACATTGTGTATATATAGTAACAGCAGTATAAATAGTTGGACATTGTACATTGTGTATATATAGTAACAGCAGTATAAATAGTTGGACATTGTACATTGTGTATATATAGTAACAGCAGTATAAATAGTTGGACATTGTACATTGTGTATATATAGTAACAGCAGTATAAATAGTTGGACATTGTACATTGTGTATATATAGTAACAGCAGTATAAATAGTTGGACATTGTACATTGTGTATATATAGTAACAGCAGTATAAATAGTTGGACATTGTACATTGTGTATATATAGTAACAGCAGTATAAATAGTTGGACATTGTACATTGTGTATATATAGTAACAGCAGTATAAATAGTTGGACATTGTACATTGTGTATATATAGTAACAGCAGTATAAATAGTTGGACATTGTACATTGTGTATATATAGTAACAGCAGTATAAATAGTTGGACATTGTACATTGTGTATATATAGTAACAGCAGTATAAATAGTTGGACATTGTACATTGTGTATATATAGTAACAGCAGTATAAATAGTTGGACATTGTACATTGTGTATATATAGTAACAGCAGTATAAATAGTTGGACATTGTACATTGTGTATATATAGTAACAGCAGTATAAATAGTTGGACATTGTACATTGTGTATATATAGTAACAGCAGTATAAATAGTTGGACATTGTACATTGTGTATATATAGTAACAGCAGTATAAATAGTTGGACATTGTACATTGTGTATATATAGTAACAGCAGTATAAATAGTTGGACATTGTACATTGTGTATATATAGTAACAGCAGTATAAATAGTTGGACATTGTACATTGTGTATATATAGTAACAGCAGTATAAATAGTTGGACATTGTACATTGTGTATATATAGTAACAGCAGTATAAATAGTTGGACATTGTACATTGTGTATATATAGTAACAGCAGTATAAATAGTTGGACATTGTACATTGTGTATATATAGTAACAGCAGTATAAATAGTTGGACATTGTACATTGTGTATATATAGTAACAGCAGTATAAATAGTTGGACATTGTACATTGTGTATATATAGTAACAGCAGTATAAATAGTTGGACATTGTACATTGTGTATATATAGTAACAGCAGTATAAATAGTTGGACATTGTACATTGTGTATATATAGTAACAGCAGTATAAATAGTTGGACATTGTACATTGTGTATATATAGTAACAGCAGTATAAATAGTTGGACATTGTACATTGTGTATATATAGTAACAGCAGTATAAATAGTTGGACATTGTACATTGTGTATATATAGTAACAGCAGTATAAATAGTTGGACATTGTACATTGTGTATATATAGTAACAGCAGTATAAATAGTTGGACATTGTACATTGTGTATATATAGTAACAGCAGTATAAATAGTTGGACATTGTACATTGTGTATATATAGTAACAGCAGTATAAATAGTTGGACATTGTACATTGTGTATATATAGTAACAGCAGTATAAATAGTTGGACATTGTACATTGTGTATATATAGTAACAGCAGTATAAATAGTTGGACATTGTACATTGTGTATATATAGTAACAGCAGTATAAATAGTTGGACATTGTACATTGTGTATATATAGTAACAGCAGTATAAATAGTTGGACATTGTACATTGTGTATATATAGTAACAGCAGTATAAATAGTTGGACATTGTACATTGTGTATATATAGTAACAGCAGTATAAATAGTTGGACATTGTACATTGTGTATATATAGTAACAGCAGTATAAATAGTTGGACATTGTACATTGTGTATATATAGTAACAGCAGTATAAATAGTTGGACATTGTACATTGTGTATATATAGTAACAGCAGTATAAATAGTTGGACATTGTACATTGTGTATATATAGTAACAGCAGTATAAATAGTTGGACATTGTACATTGTGTATATATAGTAACAGCAGTATAAATAGTTGGACATTGTACATTGTGTATATATAGTAACAGCAGTATAAATAGTTGGACATTGTACATTGTGTATATATAGTAACAGCAGTATAAATAGTTGGACATTGTACATTGTGTATATATAGTAACAGCAGTATAAATAGTTGGACATTGTACATTGTGTATATATAGTAACAGCAGTATAAATAGTTGGACATTGTACATTGTGTATATATAGTAACAGCAGTATAAATAGTTGGACATTGTACATTGTGTATATATAGTAACAGCAGTATAAATAGTTGGACATTGTACATTGTGTATATATAGTAACAGCAGTATAAATAGTTGGACATTGTACATTGTGTATATATAGTAACAGCAGTATAAATAGTTGGACATTGTACATTGTGTATATAT